TACTACCTTTTGGACAAATTGAATTTTAAAGGTACACATTTAAAGTTTAAAGCTAGAACTAATGTTCTAGATCTTGAAGGCAGAAAACGGGCATGGTCAGATACGCACTCGGGCCATTGTATTATTTCCAAAAATAGAGAATTAGGAACGGTCGACCATTTTCTATTTGATTGTGAAGGTCTATCCTCTATAAGAAATGCATGTTTTGAAAATTTAAAAACTGACTTTTAATTAATAGGTACTTTAAGACATTTTCTTAGAAGGTTCATGTGAATTTAGGCACCACTTACTTTTAGATAATATTTTTGATGCATACCAGAATATTGAAATTTGTAACATATTTGATAACCATTGTAAAACATATTTAACAAAAGCAATGACTGAAAGAACTGAACTAATGAAAAACATTACCACCAATATTTAATTTTTATGTTATTTACTGTACTAATATACTTATATTTTTTGTCATTTATTTATTTACTTTGTATTCTGTAATGGAATTCTCTAATTTTTTTTTCTTTTCTTTCTCAATTTCTTTTTTTGTACATTAAGGTAGTCCTTAATTACCACAGAATAATGAGAGTAACATTTCTTTTGCTTGTCCAGTATTTTTTCTTTACTCATTTATCTTTTCAATAATTAATTGTTATATATTGTCAGTTGTTGTTTTGTAACTGTTGTACGGGTCGAACCTCTCATGCGCGAGAATGTTCCTCTGTTATAAAAGAGATAAATAAATCTTATCTTGAATGTTACAGTATGCAAGCCCTTTGCAAGATACACATTGTACACATTTGCTCTTCATTCTTAGCATCAGGTTTTAACCTTTGAGCATTCTTTATTCTTATACACAGGAACTTTCCTGTAAGCTTTTCCAAATACATGTGTACGGGATACATTAATGATTTTGACCAGCCATTTAGCTACACTTGTCCTTACAGGTATAAGAGACAGATATATATATATATATATTCGGTACATAATATTTAGAAACAACAATTCTGATAAATATATCGAAAAAAGAATACAATGCAAGAACTAATATTAAACTGTATAAATACACCTATATTGTGAGAACATTAACGGCATTAGGACCACTTTATGCTGCATTCTATTTTCATGAATGTGTATTTTTATGCCATTGTTATCTGCCTATTTAAATCAATGTTTTATGACCCATAGATAGTTTTTAAGTCACTATATAAATAATATTACACTTTATTAAATTAAAATGATTTAGATAGAAAAATTATAGAATGTCTATACAGACAATGATTTTGAGAACATCAACGCCATTTAAGATCATGAATATATATAGCGATATTATAATAGGCCTACTGTATTTTGAAACGCATTTTACGACCCACTGATCGTTTTTAAGTCACTATATAAATAATATTACAATTTAATAAATTAATTAAAATGATTTCACTTAGCCTACTGTTAAAGAGTACTTAGATTACATTGTTGAATGTAGGTTGCAAAAACATGTCCCTACGACTATACGGTATGTCATTATACAACAACAAATCTTTAGCTCTGTTTTTTTTTTTTATACTGTTGTTTACATTTTCACGCAGATATTCCGGTTTAATGCCATTGAATAAAAAGGACTGAAAACAACACAACAATGGATACCGCAATTAAATCTAACACCATGAATGCATAAAAGGCATACAGGCTTGTACAACTACTTACAGTTCTTACTAATAGAAGAAACATCATTCCAAAATTCAATATTTCAGAAGATGCTTTTGCGACGACGTGTCTACGACACAGTTTCGGTTGTTCACATACACGCTTGTTTCAACCGTAATTTGGATATTATGAGACAGGTGCACAACCAACCAGGTATCTGAAGGAAAATTGCTGCCAAGGACAGTAGTGCCCCACCAGGCTAAACCTACAACTTATTAGTCCAGCACTCACCCCTTATTAGCGTCCACCCTCGAATCAGCACTAGGGCTGAAACGGTATCCGAACAGTTTGTCAAAATCTAGTTTGCCGAAACCCATGATTGCCGAATTAATGGCCTCTTTGCCGAAACCCATTTTGCCGAATCCAGTTCACCAAAATAATGACAACCCAGTTTGCCGAAACCCAGTTTGCCGAATCATTTGCCGTCACCATCTTACAAATGTACAGTATTACTGTGCTTTTGAAAACATAATGGGTGGATCAGGGAGAAGCCATATTTACAGTCCCGATAGTATTTGTACCCGTGTAAACGCTTCGCTTTGAATAAACGCCCCTTCTAGAGCCTCATTTGGAATGAACGCCTCTTTCGAAAACACCCTATGGCGTATATTTTTTCCTCGAATAAACTCCCTCTTGACGGTAAAACAAAAATTTAATCTAATGGAAACATCATTCCCAAATTCTACTAATGTTTTACTCCAGTAGAATCACATTGTACTTACAGTGGAATTAAGGGGCGTTTGATTATATGCAGTACGTATCCATTTTACACACAAAAATAAATGCCTGCCTCGAATAAACACTCCCCCGAATAAACTCACCCTCAAAAACCATTCTCAACAATAAACACCTCAGGGCGTTTATTCGACGAAATCGTCCGGGACTAAAAATGATAATTTGCCTATTCATATGACGTTATTTTGATTGTCAATTTCTAATATTGTGGCATAAAAAAACTCCCACTGCGAACACATGGATTTTTTTTTATGCCGGGACCTTGACAGAGGCCCCTTGATTCGGGTGTATAATTGTAGATTAATATTATTTATTTATTTATTTCATTTAGGTATACTTATACTTACCTATAAACTTTATGTACTTATTATAAATATGCTTATAAGACATTTTATCTGACATACCTATTTAATTAATCTTTTTGCTGATAGCTAAATTGTTAATCAAGTTTGATTTACAGAATAAGACAAAACTAATCATTAATATACAATAAGCAGTTATTTATTATACGAATATAATAAACAGAGATCGAATTGCACTTCGCGTTGGAAGGCTTCTAAATTCTTAATTTCGCAATTCTGGAATTTGCCTCTTTAACAATAGACATGTAATAGATAGGTTTTTCCCCCCGATAAATCATGTAATTTTCCTTCTTTGAAATCAAAATTACAATTTTTACAACATGATTGCTGATCTTTTCAAGCCATGATCCTTACTAAGGTGCGTCGCCAGTTTGCCTTTTCATAATTATCATGCGTGAGTGTGTTTATGTGATTAAGATTTGTCATATTTATTGTTTCATTGCTTTTAAACAAAATTGCCATGGCTATAATAGGCCTATATTATAGACGAAAGAGGTGACGGAAAGTTATTAATAATTAATGAAATTAACATTTCCCATGTCTGTATTGTAATGTAATTGCATAAAAGTTATTTATTAAATAATAATTCAGTACAGGATTTTTCAGTAGCCAGGCATAGAGAGAAGGGGCCTAGGACAGGCTTAGGCTATATTCTGCATAGGCCTAGCTTAACGTGAAAGAGAATGAGGCCTATACTACAGTGTGACCGGGTAGCTGGACTGGGCATTGGCTAGTTCTCCTAGTCCGACTTATGTAGCCCAGGCTGAAGTGGTTGTATTTAGCAACTCCCGTGTTCCCACACAGGCGAACAAAAGTTTTAATAATTTAAATTTCTATCACTTCCGCCGTGAGACAATCACTTCCGCCGTGAAACTCACGGCGGAATTGTACTTTCCATGGCGGAAGTTGTGATTTTGAAAGTTTGACGTGACATTTCAAAAGTTGTTGCCGTGAATTTTGAAAGTGTGCCGTGGGTTTTAAAGTGTGCAGTGACTTTTAAAAGTGTGCCGTGTGGTTTCGAAAGTTGTTGCCGTGAATTTCGAAAATGTGGCCGTGACATTTCGAAAGTTGTTGCCGTGACACTTATGGGCCACCGTATTTATTTCATACTACTCCACGCGTCATCAGCGTTGCGGCATCATAACAACAACGTTCAGTTTACCATGCCAATGAATTCATCATTTAGATTTAAAAGCCTTGGTTGAATCTAAATGGAATCGTCAACAGAAGCATTGCAATCAACCAAAATGGTGGGATGCTTCTTGGCATTCAATTTCTCGTCTGCCGGCGCACTATTTAATAAAGTTAATTAACCATCGTTGAATAGAAGTCTAAAGCAATAGCGGATTGGATTGGTTCTTCATTACTAGTGTCATAATTCTATAAAAGGACCGATGTTCATAAGGTTCGCTAGTCATAATCAATTAAAAGGGTCATGCTATTTTTACACCTCGTTGTCCGGACGTATATTTCTAAATTTATTAACTCCGCTAGTAACTATTTCACTCGAAATACAAGTGGAATCATCACTTTCTTCGAAGGCCTTGTATGTATATATATTTTAGTTAATTTTTTTACCTCGTTGTCCCGACGTATGTTTCTAAACTTATGAACTACGGTAGTAACAGATCTAGATGTGTATAAGAGACAGGTATAATCGTATTAAGATTACCCTTCAATGAAATGTTTCTTAGGTTAGTTGCAGTAGCGGCGTTACGGTGGGGGTGGGGGAGGGCTTCCTTAGTTCATTTGCATTTACAATGTGTCTATCTAGTTTCTTGCTGCTTAGCACTTGCAACAAAAGTAACGTATAGATTTCATACAATAAGGAACTTTCGTTGATGAACTATGCTTAATACGATTTATATTCCCATATTTGAGCACTGTAGGTCTTATTTATTTGGGAGTGCCATTTCCAGACAAGAAAAAACATGTTCTCCCCTTTTTAGATCTAAGGAGTTGAGTCCGGGGGTAGGGGCCCTGTCTGACAGACTGTCACTTCCTTCCCTTCCACTGCTGCCAATACTTAAAATCTATTTTAAAAACCGCGTTCACAACGTCAATAACACGCGTTAAAAATGACTTCACTCTTGAATTTGGTTTACCTTTGGATTGGGTCCACTCCTGAATTGTCCCACACTGTTTGAAAATCGTCCCTTAAGGCATTGGCCACGACACAGATAATTTTCTTGTAAATTCGGCTCCTGACCCTCGAAATTTCGCGTGTCTGATAAGGAATCATTCTGAATTCTGCTTCTGGAGTCGCATTCATCAAGAATTGCGCACCCTGTTAAGCATTTCAGACTAGAAGGGGTGAAAGAGGAAGAAGAGAAAAATATGTGAGCATAATCAAAATGCATTTTTCGACAGATAAGTGATAACCGTCGTGATTGCGCGAAATACTTCACAAATGGTACCGTAATGCCCTGATAAAAGGAATGTTTCGATGTTTTATGGCGTGACATACAAAGTACAAAGTTTCCAACCTCAAAAGTGTTTACTTGGCCATTGAGTCAATACCCATGAGATTACAAATGTCTTAGTTTGTTTTGTCCAGAATAATGTATTTACATTCCTAAATTAGACGGAACTCTACACATCAGGAATATACCGGTATTAAATTCAACGGTAGGGCAGCAAAACTTAACAAGTCCTGAGTAATAATTCAACTCACCACGCCTTACTAATTGTTCGTAAGTTATTTATTTTAAATTAAATTGAAAATGATTGAACGATAGGAGGTAACGATTGAGGGATTATGGAAATTTAATTTTTTAAATTAGCTCCAGATTTAAGCACCTTTTTTCACGCCAACTGCAAAGGCACTTCTCAACTAAAATGAAATCTGCAAGGTGCTGAACCGCCCCAAACAACAATTAGGTATAACCGATGAAGAATGATATCAAGGGCGTGGTTAATAGTTGTAGTGGGGGTGGGGGGCCGATTTGCATTATAGGGAAGTCTTGGGCCTCAGGCCTAAGCCTTGGTTGGTGCCAGGGGCACCATCAGGGCTCCCGGTGGGGGTCCAGGGGCGAAGCTACGAAACCTCTGGCGGCTATAGCCTTTTATGTCGTATCTAATTGATTTTAAGGAATGCAGTTAACATTTATTTCCACAATACATTTTCAAAATACAGTGAGGGATCCCGAAATTCGAAATAGGGGGGACCCAGGGAGGGACTTTTACAGATGGAGTGTAAACTACTTTTGCCCACTATGGTTGGGCCTGAGAAAGAATAATGGCCGGAAATGGCACTCTTAGACTCAAACTTTGAGAAGAATTTTCATTTTTTTCTCAATATTTTTTAAATTTTGAAATATTTAGGGTGAGGGCCCTGGGCCCTACCCTCTTGAATCCGCCACTGCACCCATAAAATCGATGGAGTGGTTACTGAGATGGTTACAAAATGTACAAACAATTGCGTTTTTACTCGATTTTGGTCTGAAAAAATACGCACCGCACTTGGAACAGAGCACAAGTGAACAGACAATTCATGACAGTCATTCGTAATTCTTGATCTTTCCCCTCGCTTTGAATAGTGGGGTTTCAACTATAGAAGATTGGTGAAAATTTTATTTTCTCCATGGTTGAATCATGTTCAAACATGATCAAACCATGGAAAAAATAAAATAAAATATTTTATTTTCTCCATGATCAAACGACTACCGGTATACTTGAATCCAACGTCGCCATGCGCTCTATCCTATAGTGCTTTCTCAACATTATTTTATTGATAACTTTGAATGCTTTAAATGACAACATCTTATATTTCACCAGGCCCTGAGTGTGCAGTGCCTGTGGTTTTATTTATTAAGTATTTTAATTTCTGAGGCTGATATTAATAAATAATAAAACATGCATTATATTTCTCATCTCTGGCCGGTCTAGTCTATGCCTCCATGGGCCTAATTATACCTTGCCATTAAATTGGTAAGGGAATCAGCGATCTCAAAGCTGTTCAGTTATGTTG